TCTTCCCAACAACATTACCTCGTCCTTGTTGACAAAAACATGTCTCCGATGCCATCTTTCTTTTTTCAACCAATAACATATGACTGTGTAAAGACTGAAATATTATCTCTACCAAATAACAAATCACACGGTTTATACTCCTCCCCGACAAAGTTACTAATTAAAAATGCTCAATTGACATCATAGGTCCTTTTACTTCGGAAGTATTTAATATTTCCATCAGCCTAGGGAGATATCCTACAAAACTGAAATTGTCCAAAATTGTGCCTGTTTTTAAATCCGATGATGATACAGACCCAAACAACTATAGACCTATATCTTTATTATCAAACTTCAACAGAATATTTGAAAGGCTTATGTATACCAGAATGCTGAATTACATTGAGAAACACAATTTTTTTACTCTTCCCAGTACGGCTTTCGCAAAGGACATTCTACTCAAGTTGCTACATTAGACATCGTTATAATGCAATCCAGGCCAATATGAATCAAGGTCTATACTCTTGTGGTGTCTTTATTGACCTCAAAAAAGCTTTTGATAACGTTGACCATAATATTCTGCTAGATAAGCTCAACTTCAACTTCCGTGGATTAATCAGCCAATGATTTTCCTCATATCTTAATAACTGCACCCAAACTACTCAAATCGCTGATCACATAACAAATAAGCCACAATCAGCTTTGGAGTTCCTCAAACTACCGTTATAGGCCCTCTTCTCATTTTGCTGTATGTTAATGATATCCACCAGTGCTCTACTAAACTTAAATTCTATCTCTTCGCTGATGATACCAACATTCTTTTTGCTGAAAAAAAATTGAAAGTTATTGAAACAGAAGTCAATACTGAATTGTGTAAACTCTACGACTGGTTAACATCTAATAAGTCAACTCTTAACATTAGTAAATCCAACTTTTTGCAATATTTCATCCTAAACAACATAACCATAATTACAAACCTAAAATATGTTTATTTGACAACGAGGAAAATGGATATGCTACGCTTGAATCAAAGGAATATATTAAATATCTTGGCATTTTCATTGATAAAAACCTCACCTGGAAACATCATATTGATACTGTCGCTTCAAAAATCAGCAAAACGGTTGGCTTACTTGCGAAATAGTGACATTTTTCCCACGCAAATTCTTCTTAAAATTTATCAGTCACTTATTTACTCGTATATTACATATGGACTTGCTTCTTGTGGCCCCAGGCAAGCAGCAAAGACGCATCTCAACAAAATTCTATTGCTACAATATTATGTATGTTATCTTCGGATAAAAAACTTCTCGGATAGATTCGATCACGCAATACCTCTCTTCATTTACGCCAACGTTTTACCCTCTAACTTCTTATATTATCAGGCAATATCTAATCTTATGCATGATGTCCATAACAATAAGGTACCTTCTGGCATTTTAAATCTTTTTCAAAAAAACAAGTAGCTGCCACTCCTACAATACAAGAGCATCGGCTTTAGGAAATTTTCATGTTAACAGTTCCGATCTAGAATTATATAATTGTCTTTCTCTCGCTTTGGGGCTAAGCTGTGGAATGAGATACCCTGTAACATCCGACAACTCCCCAAGAATAAGTTCAAAAAAACACTTCCCAAATTACTTTCTGATATTCTGAATTCAGAAGATGACTATATTGATACGCCCACCCTAATTAAAAAGGTTCACTTAGCCAAACATGTTGCGAAATAAATTCTTGCTTATTAAATTCTACCATTACAATTTATTTGTTTCATTCTTTTTTTCTTTAGTCTGTTATATAATTTTCTAGTCCTCATACATGTTACGATTTTTATTTTATTTATTTATAAACTGTAAACTTTCCTTAGTTGATAGCCTTAGTCTTTATTTCGATAAATTACACGCATTGTCCCACCTCTGATAGCCTTGCTAGCTGAGGGCAATACTTCTGTAATTTAATTTGTTTATTAATAAAGTTTTGCTGTTGTTGTTTGTTGTTGCTTAAATCACCAAGATCACTGAGTGTGTATATAATAATTAGCTCCATTAGAACCGCAACTATAGAGAGAGAGGCCTCAAAAGAAATCACCTAAGTTCTTTTATACAGAGATTTTCGTGTCACCTAATTGAGGATAAGTGGTAATGGATGGATGATAACCGTCACGAATCCATTACCGGATAAGTAATGGACTGATATCGGAAGTGTCAAAGGTACTGCTACGTTCTAATTGCAAGCCTGGATATCCTCCGGCAGTATTAGTGAAAAATAAGGAAATTTAACTGTAGAACACAAATTCGGTATCGTCAGCTCGTAGTATCATGCACCGTGTAATTATATAATCGACTTACAACTAAGACCCAGTTCAGACGCCGAACTTTTCATGAGCCGAACCTAGTACATTGAATTAAGTTCATGAAAAGTTCAGCGTCTGAATCAATTAGGAACGCCTGTTTCAATTTGGAACGACTCAGCCGTTCTCTTCTCCTAGCCCGGCGGGGAATTTTCCTTTGGAGCGACTTTGAAACGGCTTCGATTCAGACGCCGAACTTTTCATGTACCGAACCTAATGCATAAGGTGTTTCGATACAGTTTTTCAGAGGCCATACCGATATTTTTCAATAGATCGTTTTCACTGTCACGCAACAAAAAAATAAATTGGAAACCGTCCAGTGGAAGAAGCCGAGAAAATGACATGTTACAAAAGACTAATATATGAACAATTTGTCCAAGTCTTAGGTCTTTGTGGCCCACAGTTTCTGAGTTATTTGCCGAAACGTTTCACGCACCCTTGTAGAGCTTTGTATGGAGACGCCATATTGGTGTACCGTTTTGATCCACCAATATGGCCGCCGGAAATCAACAAAACATCTGGAGTTTACTTTTTCTATAAAAGCTCTTTCTTTTCACTCGAGAACCAGCCTACGTGCGCATAAACATATCTTGTAATACTTGAAATGGTTATACTGCTGAAAATCAAGAGGAGAGACTTTTTTCAACGAGACAGCATTCCTGTTTTGGTGTCACGCACTGTGAAAACTCGGAAGTTCGTATTGCTGTATTTTCGAAATGAAACATGCTACGGGAATGGAAGCTTGAACAAAGATTTATTTTTTGTTTATCTTCAACCTAGTCTAAATAAGAATTCGTAAAACCTCGCTGTTTTGACTTAACAGTTTGATGACGTCACTGTGAAAACCATTTATTGCCTTAAAAGTGTTTTTTTCCTTGTCCGATCGCTATACAATTTTCACCAGTAACTGGCTATGGATTGAAATTTGTGAAAATGTACTTTTAAGTAAAATCGACATTACTATAACAACAATGAACAAAAAGCTTTGAAATTGATAAAAGCTGAATTTTGTGTGATCTAGACCAGCTACTGAAAATCCAACACTAGGAACTTTAAGTTTGGTGTTTAGCAAGCAACCTCCGTCGGAAGTAAAAAATTCTGTATGTTTGAATTCAAATAAAACGAAAATATATTTCAACCTTAAATGCTCAATAGCCGTGATAGCTTAATTAATAAAAACGTGATAAATGACTCAAATTATTCTTAAGTAGCGTCAGAATGCTGCTTAACATCGTATTTTGATGCTATGGAAATTTTCGTGTATTTTCTTTCTTGCGATCTTAAAAACTAATCCGTTTTCTCACCACCTGTGTAAGCGCAACCTCATTCAAAATTTGGATTTTTAGCGCTTTTCTGTATATCTCTGAAACGACTCGAACGAATTTTTTTAAAATCTATTCACATATTCTTCATAATCTAAGTCTATATAATTGTTGGTTTTCACAGGACGTCACTAAAATTCAAAATAAAAAAAACTATCGATCCTACCGAGATTTTACTTTCACGATGCATTAGAGCAGCTGAAAACTAATTTTCATACAAATTATCGCTTCAAAAGGGGTCTTGGTTTTGTGCTGAGTACGCTTGAATTTCTAAGCTTTTGCGTGTCGCGGCATTTACATGACGACCAAGAGAGCTGTCATACATGTAGGTTAAAAATTATAATGACTTATTTCAGGAAATTTTACTATCTAAACAGTTCAGGTATTAGAAAAAGTATTACTTTAATGTTTATAAGTTTCTCGAAGAATAAATTCACGCTTTTGTAGCAAAACTCGGTAACAGATGTTTCTGTTGGTTTCCGTCCGCCATGTTGGAGCTCATCCAGGTGAGCACCAGCATTGCGTCTCCATACAAATCTCTATAAGTTTGGGTAAAACATTTCTTCGGATATCTCGTATACGAAATATTCCTCTGACCTGAATCTTGGCGAGGGTCTTTGTATATGTACCTCCTTTCATTTCCCAGATTCGGGACTTTATCTATTGAACGGTTTTGATTTTGATTTTGATCTATTTTGAAAGGCGTGACACTGAAAACCAGCAATAAGGTCTAAAACTTTCATTGAGATTGATGCAATGCAACATCTTAAAATTTCAAGACAAACCTATCCTACGAACCTGTCAAAAATCTGCGTTACAACATTCACTGTTTATAGCGATCAGACAAGGATAAAATCACTTCTAAATTAAAGCGATTGAAAAATATGGGTATAGCCTCTGAAAAACTATATCGAAACACCATTATGACGTATTTTATTAAGCAGTCTGACCGAAATGCGCATTTTCCGCCTTTTGAACTTAGCTTAGCTCCAATTAAGATCGGCGCCTGAATCAGTTCAGCCGGTCTAAATAATTTGGGTCGGACTTAATTCGAATTAGGTTCTTCGGCTAATGAAAAGTTCGGCGTCTGAATTGAACCAGGCCTAAGCAACTGTGAGTACCGATCGATTTAGAGGAACTCTAGAATTCACAAGATAGATCTTGCAAATGCATGCTTTGTCGGACCGGAATGTGTGGAATAAGATTGTTCAGAGCATCCTGACCGAAAGGGCCAAAGATAATGAAGATTTTCCTGTGACAACAAAAGTATCAGCAAACATATTTCTCAGCGAGAAAACAAAATTTTATTATCGCTTGATGGAATCTTTTATTATGAATGTCCTGGCGTTTCAAGATTTCATGGTCTGGTCGATCCAATTCCTGAACTTAGCAACCCGTCCGAAAACAGTGTATCGTTCGGCTGCTGAGCATCTCGAGGATCCCCAACTGACGTCACCCTGTAGAACCCAATTTCCATTGGCTCCTTGACAAACATAAGGACCACCGCTGTCTCCATGGCAACCACTAAGGATAGTTCCACTTTTGCCTGCGCAGAGCATGTGTGGCGTTATCTTTAATGACGATCCACCTAGGAGGTTGATTTTAGACAAAATAAGAATGACTAAATGAAAAGCATCTGCAAAAAACCTCTCACTGTGGCACTCTTATTTGTATCTTGCAGTATTGCGTATTTGTATCTTGTAATATTGCGACCGTTGCGGACGATGGGCATGGCCCATGCCAAATTCAACGCTTCAATACGACCCAGTACCCCGCTGATTACAATAAAAGATTAATTCTTATAACAATGATATTTAATAATAAAGCCATAGTCATACGAGCTATACTCATCTTTTTTTAAAGAATTTGCCTATATTTCAACGCACAGACCACTGTCTATTTACAGGTCAGGTGCATGTCCTCTAGCGGGCGCCTAGATGGCGCAAGCCGGAATGTCTAATCTTCTTGGGGGGGTTAAACTGATAATCACAGAGCTGAACGTGATCTTATCGCTTTATTGCACCATTTGTTCTTTCCCCTGGAGAAAGGGACTGGGGACTTAAAGGGCCTGTTTACATGGAGGCCAGTGGTGGCCATGGAGGTTCAGGGCGGAAAAACGTAATGAGCATGCGTGAACTTTTTTGCCCAGATCCCCTGGCCGGGTTTGAAAAAATGGCGGGATTTCAAATATTTTAGTGCCTAAAAATAAAATGTTTCCCCTCATAACCTGGAAAGAACAGGCAATTTTTCTTCAAAAGTTGCAAGCTGTGGTTATAACCTTGTCGTTACTTAATTTTCTCGAAGAATACCTCATAGTAAAACGGACTTTAACGACGTTAATTTCCTTGCGTTGTACTGGAAATGTGCATGCGTAGGTCCGATTTTTTTCAAGATGCATTCACAAAATGTGTTCATATAAGGAAGTTCCTGGATATATAAGGTCCGGAGCTCCACTGTGGACACAAAAACAACATATCTTTCGACAGTGATTTGCCCAAAAAAATTAACGCTTGCCCACAATGTGTTTGAAGTCACTGAACTTTGTCGTGCTCGAGCTGATATTTTAAAACCCTAGCTCGATCGGACACTCGTAGTTTCGCAGATCACTAAAATATGAGCAAAATCCTCAATGAAGAAGTTATTGCGTTGATATGTGGGCAGAAAAAAGGTCAATCTTTATCTCGTAAAATCTTCCCAAAAATCGGTTTCAAAGCAACTATAGTTTTTAAACTTCCTCGTTTCGCGCAGATATATAAATTTTGCTTTGTGTTGTCAAGTTGAACACACATAACATCTGTCAAAAACCTACGCGTAAATAGGATTTCCTTCAAACAAAGTTAAAGTTACATTATTTCAAAAACTTCTTGCTGACAATGAAGAAATGAATTTTCTGTGCGAAAACATCCTACCTAAAGATCTTAAAACCAAAAAATCAGTTGCAACTTGGCAGCCAAGTCATGATTCACCATTTAGCTATTTTCAATAAGCTTAACTGGTCCATGCGAGTGTCTTCGTTTAAGCAAATTAAACTCAGCCGATCATTACAAAATACAGAAAATTGCACATAAGGGTTTGTTTTGCTTGCCTCAGGCAAATCAAGCTGCAGCGATTGTTTACGGGAAAAGAGTCAATTGTTTTGAAGTCACTGCCGGCAGTTGTCGTTCTCTACTTCAGAGCGAGTGAAAAGGACAATTTGCGTACAGAAAGTTATTCTTATAAAGAACAGAAACTTTCACAGTGCACTGGAAAACAAAACTATGTAATGAAAAATGAAAAAAACTCTGACTGTTATTACTTGAGCAACAGAAAAATGATCTTGAGTGTTTAATAACCGCACAAGTTTGTTCACTCTGATGCCTTATGACAGCAATATGGTTCTTTGACTGAAGACAAAGATAAAGCTGGTTCTGCAAGGGTAATAAATCTGGGCATGTAAAAAAAGTAGCCATAACTACTAATAACAGAATACAAGCGGGTTTGAATTGAACCCGGCGAAATCTGACTCATAAATTAATCGGATGCACAATCAGAAAAATACTCGCCTCTTAAGAAATGTTCAAAACCCTTTATTCCACCTCAGACTGACGGAATGATCCGTTTTTCAAATAAAAATGCTTTACAGGGAGCAAACGTTCACACCTCGTGCATTTCACTCAGAACTCCAGCAACAAACAAACACAGTTAACCCCTGGTTAACACAAAGAAAAGCCCGCCTTGAGCCTGCGATAAGGGATGCGCAGAAGCTTGCGCAGAACGTTTTTCCGCCCTGAACCATGGAGGCCGGGGGAACCCCAGGTAGGTGAGTTAACCCCCCTGTCCATATAATGAATCTTTCATTTTAATTTGATCACGTTTACATGTTCGGTGGGATAACCCGCCGCGGGTTACCTCACCTATCTGAGGTCCCCAAAGCCACGTAAACAGACCCTAAAGCTCGTTATAGAGGATTGGACTCAGTATGATTAATATATATATATATAGATATTTTATGGTTGTGAAAACGCCTCCAGCGTAGAAAAAAAAAACAAATAAATCAATGTGAATTGTACAATATTAAATTATCACAACCCCACTGGTTTAAGGCAAACCTGGTGATGCGTCCAATTTTTTCTGGCAAACGCTGTTTGTCACAGGCGGTATCTCAGCTTGTTGTAGAATATTGTGAGAAGATCCCGGGTGTTGTATTTTGCCCCATCCTAGAAAAAAAAATGAAAATATTTGAGGCCTGAAGTACCGAGTCGACATCACGTCATTAATGCCGTTTTGATTTTAATAAATGTTATCATTTTTTATCAATGATTATTCATGATTATTATTTATTTTTTCTGAATTAATTTTGTTTTTATTGGATGGGTTAGTTTTCTCCTTTTTGATCTTTTCTATTTTTACCACAACTTTACTTCGTTGCGCTCAATTTTAAAAACTTTAAACATTTTATTATTTAAGTCTTCATGCAATGCAATCTGGTGATAAAGCAATTAATCACAGAGGTCATAATTTATTATAAGTGAAGGCTGCTTGTTTCAGTTACTAATTTACAGGCGTAGGAGACTATTGACACTATTTTCAACAGATTTACCAGTTTTACCTGTTATAAAGCACCTAGCTGAGGTGGAAACCATTTCATCCTGAGCAGGAAGGCAAACTGTATTCACTCGGCCGTTTAAAGTTGCTGGCTTAGAAAGCTGGATCAAAGCGATGTCTTTGTCTATTGTAAAGGAGGAATATTGAGGATGAACTATCACTTGTTTAGCTGGTATATCTTGTTCAGTTCCCTCAGAAAGGTAACGGTTGTGGTCACCCAAACGCACGGTATAGTAACTAGCTGGCCTGTTAAACAAACATTTTTAACAATGTCATTAGGTTACACCTGGTAAGTTAATTAACAATATGCTTGCAGTACTTTAAAAATCGGGGCCGAGTTGTTCAAAGCTGGAATAAGAAAACCCAGGGTTAGTGAGAGATTTGAATTCAGATTTGAAAGCTTAAAAAGCATTTCAGTCTTAATTCTTTTTGTCTACAGGTTGATGATTGGAAGCTCTAAAAATAAGAGAAAATTATCCGAGAAAATGCTTTCGAGCACAAGGAAAAAAAGCATAAAAACCTAAAAAAAATTAACCCCAGGTTATTATAAGCGCTAATCGGCCTTTGATTAGCGCCTGAGTTCGATCAACCAATTTGATGAACGACTAACCATCAGTTAGTGACGGCTTGTGACTGCATTTTCTGACTGTCCTAATTTCTAGTACTTCCATGTTTATTGGCTAAACGTATTTTACCGGTTTTACTCCTAAGAGGTAGACACACAGGTCGTATCGCCACCGTAATTCTATTCAATAATGGCATCCTAGCCTGAAGTTAAGGGGTATTATGGATTGAATTCAAAATTAGGGATCCTTTGTTCGATTCAGTTGGCCAGCTGTGGCCTGGAATGGGAAGAAGGGGACCGACTTCTTTCTTTGGATATGGTTTTCGCCTCTCCGAGTCCTTGATATGGGTCTTAAGTCGCGTTTACAATGATAAGTTTGGGCGGAAATCTTGACATTTAGTCCGGCGTCAATGCTTTCAAAAGGAACTTGGTTTACGTGATAGCTATTTTATTTTTTAAATATATAATTTTTCCTCAACAAAGTCAGCACTGGGTTTCAAACCCGGATCTGCAGTGCCACTATTGTATTGAAAAAGGGCATATTTCAGTTCCAATACACAGCCTGTACACCGGGCTGAGTTAATATCATACAGGCCTCTATGGCTAATGATTTTGAGCATGCTTGTGTTAAAATTAATGGTACCACAGAGACTGGATAAATGCTACGATGGTGTTGTTATATTCCTAGACTTTCACTCAACTAAGTACGGACTGTTATTGGTTGATTCTTGGTCACGTGGCCTTGACTTAAAACAAGTGTATCCCGATCGAGATGCTTTTGTACCCCGCTCGGGGATACATTACAGCACATTATCAAAGAATGGTGGAAAGTGGCGTGACAGAAGGAGGACAAAACACTGCCCGTCTTGTCTTTTTTTTTGTGTGAATA